AAATCGGAGTAAAGTGGAACCTTGATCAATTATACTCAGTCTATTAGCTAGTTTCTTTTTATTTCTACCACTTATCCAATTTAATTGGAATTATTGCTTTAGTAGGGCGATACGGAACTGCGTTTCCGAGAAGTTGAATCGTTTCCGGGAATGGGGCGAGATCCTGCTCCTGGAGGGTCCTGTTGTCCCGTGCGTTCGCCTAATTTCGTTAGGTTAGGGCATTCCTCGCAGCACAAGTAGGTCGCAGCCGAATAACCGGCCAGGTGACCAGTTTCGAGGACATGTTCTCCTAATCGATGTCACCGGTCGATTTCCCTTTTGTAGAGCCCGTTTGTCTCTGCTTTGCGTGGAGGATGTCGCCGAAAAGCGAGAAGGGGCTCGACAAAAAGTGCCCCGAAGTCGAGCCTACGGTCTTCGAGGGCGCCACTTGGAAGGGCTTCGATCACAGGGACTTAGAAGCCGTCGTAAGTATTTTAGGGACAAGTCCTCATCGCCATGAGTTGCGCCATAAACCTTCGCGCCCTGCATGTACAAGAGCCATGGCGCAACCAAGCCTTTTCAACTACTTAAGGTGATATGAAAGTGGCATCTGACAGGGCAATCGTTCGTGAAAGTATTCCCCGAATCAGATGTACCAATTTCTTTCAAATCTCACCATATGAATGAGGAAGCTCTAAGATAGGTCCTAAAACTCCCGAAATTTTATATTTTACAACAATTTTTGAAAATACCTATAAACAAATTTTTTTAAATTTGAAATTTCGTGGGTGTTAAGACCTTCCTTATAGCCTTCATATCCATAGTGTAAATTTTAAAACAACTCCGTACACCCAGTTTGGAGAAAAGTATCCCGAACGATTGACCCTTAAGGTGGTATGAAAGTGGCATCTGACAGGGCAATCGTTCATGAAACTTTTCTTCGAAGTGCATGTACCGAATTGCTTTAAACTTTGCAACGTGAATATCTAAAATATAAGGAAGGTCCTGATACTAATGAAATTTCAATTTTTCTTTATTAAATATGTTTATCGAGATTTATTAATTTTTCATGAAAAATTAAATTTCATGGGTGTTGAGACCTCCCTCATAGCCTCTGTATTCACGTTGTAAGTTTTTAACGACTCAGTACATCCAGTTTGAAGAAGAGTTTCACAGACGAGAATTCTTTGAAGCCACTTTGATATTACCTTAATCAGAATTTAGGGCCTTTGAAAAATCTGTTGGCACTCTTCGAGGCCCAGACTCGACATGTCTCGAAATTTCTCTGAGAAAATGTTCGGGAACTTTTAATAACCTCCTCTCGTTCTTCTATTAACTATTTTTGATTACACTTTTAATGGCGCTAAGCCGTTTTGAACGCATCTCCACTTTTAATAAAATTCCTGGATAACGGATATGAATTTTTGGATTTTACACCGAATCGCAGGATTGTCAAACCTCTTTGCAGAAATAATTTTTCCTGAACTCATGTACTCGTAGTTTAGTTTGTTTGAAAAATGCTGAAAAACATGTAGGAGAAGAAAATTGCGTTGCCGTCTTGCTGTGTGCAATGTATTTATTTATTTCAGATTTGTTTCGACGTGCGGTTCATCCAACATGTGATAAACTCGCTCAATGACGTATTTCTGCATAATGTACATTGACTGGCATATTGACCCTACTTGTTTATTAACTATCTGACTGGATTCCAAGTAGAGCTATCACGGTCGTAACAAAACGTGCGTCAGTCCGGAAAATCGAAACCTCTTTATCCTGGGAAATGGCTTGTGTCAAATTTGAGAAATAGAATTTCAGAGAATACCTCTTTCTCATTTAAGATGCCCACACAGGTGACGATAAATCGTTGCGATTAATCTGTAAAAACCGAACCGTACATATGTAATTGTGCGCGCTGTAAAAGACCTCGATTTACCTGCATGTATTAAAAATCACTATTATTTATCACCACGTATTTACACTGTTAAAAGTATTCCTAAATTCATGCACTTTCATTTCATAATGTAATAAATTCGTTTCGACGCCTTGAAAGCGAATGAATACACGTTAACGGTACATTTTCAAATAAGTTTATAATTTTATGTGTCAGTCGCATCGAATAAACCTTCCAAAAGGAATGTTAGAAGATTATTTATTTTTTAACAGTGTAGTCACTTTCAGGGTAAATAAACTGGTGAATGAAATTTGTAAAGGTCGGAAAATGTCTCTTTCAAAGGGCGTCGCATTGAATAAACCTTCCAAAAGTAACGTTACAAGATTGGAATATTTATTTTTAATATTCTAGTCACTTTTAGAGTGATTAAACTAGTGAACGAAATTTCTAAAGGTCTTTCAGCGTGCGCTGCATTGGTGTCAGTCGCAGCCCTTCGGCGTACTCGGCGAGGGTGCGTCTTCCCATTTCGGGGTGGTTGGAGGCTGAAGAAGGGGTAGTTCCCTGCGAGCCCCACGTACACGCATGTAAATGAATGGGGATTCGATAGGGCGATGTAGCAGGCGAGTAGGGGTTTGTAGGAGCGTTACAAGGGTCGCGAAGACCCCTTGAGTCCCCGGGGTTTCTCCTGCGATCACGTGACCCACCCCTACTTGGCGCACCCCTTCGAACCCCTGCACCCTGCATGAGCGCGTAGAGGCACCCTCTACATCCCCTACACCGACTACACATTTACATACTCCAAATACCCGAGAGGGTGCTCTATATACCATGTACATACCCCGCACCCCAAAAACCCCAGAAGATACGTGAGGTAAATACATACGTGGGGGTTGCCTGGGTACCGTCCCACCCCTAACTTAAATATTTATACAATCTACAGATCTTATATGTAACCCGGTATCTATGTATCTACTGAACATATTTTCATCCCCAGGTCATGTGTATCACGACATCCCCTGTACTAGTTATACGTTTGTATACGTCAAACACGGAAACAAACTCTACACATTAGAAAGACAATTAATTTGGTACATTTGACACAATTGTTTAATTGACTCGCATTTGGTTAATCTCAGGAAACGTCTCGGTTTAGTGAATCGAATTTTAGTTATGTAAACGAACTTGAGCATGCTCGATCAACTAAAGAATTTCCATTAAACCGTTTTGTTGATTTTAGGAAAGATTTCAATCTTATTAATTCAACGAAATATTTTTCTGTGCGTATGTACTATGTATGTTACACCGCACCCCTCATGACCCACCCCCGTAGGGAAGTGTGGGATGTGTGGGGTATGTCACTGTAACAAAAATGTCCCTGGCCAATTTTCAAGTGTCCACATTTATTGCGGCAAGTTAAGTTTCTTGTTATCACTGTGAATTCTTTTTCTGCGTGCTTGTATCTATCGAACACATTTTCATCCCCAGGTCCTCTACACCACTATAAGCCCTGCAACCCCCACGTCCACCAGGGTGAGTTTCGTGTACCTTACGAGCCCCGAGAGCTCTCCACACTTCCAACCCCTGCGTGGCATACGACATCTACACACCATACACTTTCTCCACCCCGTAGAGGACTTACCCTGTGGTAATCCCGAGACGACACAACCATCGGCGAGCTACCAAGTCCCCATGATCCCCCAGGAGTTAGGGGCTGGCTTGGTCCACGGGATTTCGCAACATCCCTTGGCGAATCCCGGAGAAATCTTAGGGGTGCAATGTATTAGGATCCTATGGGGCTGGCGGAGGGAATTCTCGCCCAGGGGGTGCCGAAATCCTCGAAGGGGATGCTGCTCCCCCAGGGGTCGGCCCTTCGCACTCCATTGTACTTTTCGTAACACTCGGCCGAGCTTTTAGGAGGGAGAAGCCAATACTTCGCCGACCCCGAATCTCGACAAAAGAGTCGCCCTGCCTCTCTTTGTACATGTTTGTATTGTTCGGCCAGAACACTCGAATGCGATACTTCTTTGCCATTGTTGGAGCCGCCATTCAGGGGTGCGCTCGCCTCCCATTCGGTAATGGCGAGGTGTTGCCCGAATTAAGGGCGTTTCCAAGGCCTGCCCTTTAGCTCTAATTACCAGAAAATACTTTTCCTTCTTTCAGGAAAGGAAACTCTTTCACGTTTTTCTATCGCAATCGAGAAATTACGGTTACACCGTTTAAGAGAATATAGTGTAACTTGGTATTCATTTTTCTCCAACGTTTTCAGGGAACGTTCAAACGTGGTAATTTTTCCATATAGTTTCATAAAAGTCATGACGTGGTATAATGGAACCCTGAAGTTACTTAGAGATTTGCAATAAATGTGCATGGATGCGCTTTTGAGACAACGAATTTATAATTCCACAATCACCTTATGTAACGAGCGTTAAGATTTTATGAATATCATTAACAGTGTATCCCAGCTCAATCGAGGCCGTGTTATTCGGTTCTAATTGCCAGAAAAATATCTTTTCCATTTCCAGGTAGAGAAATCCATGGAGGGTTCTTCTTACATGAACCAGAAATCATGGTGATCCAAAGATTTGCCACGATAATGGTCACTGTCCATTGCGCTGTCTTTATCGGTCTTGTCTGCTGACTCAGAGACGAGAAACATTTTCAGCTAACGTGAGTAAATATTCGTTTTGAAAATACTAGCTTCTGAATAAACAGATAACATTGTTGGCAGATGATTTCTCCTAAGAGAGGTGGCGTTTCCAGATTACCGAGACAAATCATTACCGACCTTTCTCGTCCTCTTTATGGTTCTTTTTGACGTGGAGGTGGGGACTGTGAGAATGCCCAACTTCACGCTGGTAATTGGTCCGTGAAAATTGCCGACGGGTTTCTTTTCGGGGAGATGAGGTTGCAGACCCTTCCCAGAAGAATGCATCTTGCAAAAAGCCTAGGCGGCCCTTTTGAAGCGGTCCAGGAAGCGCGGCATATTCGGTGGGAGCGTTTACGAAGATCCCATCTCGAGTCTCCGGACTCGTTACGTTGATTTGCTGCATCTCGTCTTATCTTTCATGAGAAAAGCAAGAAGTAAAGAGGCGGGGGTCGGACTCCATTAGTGGATGGCAGTCCACTTCGGGGTTCTGAATTAGTACAGGCGTGGGGATTGATCAAGCTGGACGTGTCTTCGACTCGACTTCGATTTTTCTACATCTTCGATCGAAGCCTCTCAAAGGCATAATTATAAATACAATTACGTGAGTATAACTGCACTGAGAAAAAACATTCCTTGAATCAACGAAATATATTGTTAATTTAAAGAATTATTTTCTAACTCGTATAAATTCAATTAAATCCCCATCATTCCAAAGAAACGTCGCATCCAATTTCTTGGAGTTCATTAGAGTCAAGTAATTATTCTTTGAATTAACAAAGTGTGTATTTAGTACTGTCCAAAGAAATATTTCTTTGGTTCAATACAATTTTTCTTTCTTATGGAATTAAGTGGATGGGGTTAAATAATTTTATTTAACGAACGAAATTTATTAAGGTAATTCGGACAATTATGGATTAGTAGCTTTCGTTTGTCCACGAAATTGGACACATCCGGAGTCGTGTTAAAAGTGATGAGTTGGACGCTTGATTAAGTCATCCGAATTCTTATGTTCGATAATTTCTACGTGTCTAATGACGAGTCAGGTTCAATTAATGTAACTCGCAAGATCCCCCTGCAAGTGGAGGGTCTGTTGATTCGCTATCTGGTCCCGGGATTTACGTCATTGGATTTTTCATTGCTCGTATTATCGCCGTTTCTCGAAGTGATCTACGTGCTTCCATCCTTGTGATACTCGTGCGGTAATAAGAGTACCGATACAATGTACCGAGGAAAATAATTTATTGACGATGCATTGGAAGTGCATCTCACTTCTTGGGGGTGCATCAAGGTCCGTACTCATACCTCGCATTTAACATTAATACGACAGATAAAAGACGTTTACACGGCTAAAAGACGTCTTTTAATCCTATAATAGGGAATCATATACATACGTCAATTTTCCACAGTTACTTATTATCGATATTTTATTTTTTTTTTTATTTTACAGGAATCATTTGAGGAACTCCACCTCCTGGAAGTGTCAAGGGAAGCGGAGAGTAACAACTGTGACAATGTAGAATGCTGTAGTTTGTGGTATTGCCTGAAATTGTGCGGAATTTGTAATGTCCTCGACAGCTGTCAGAATCAGCTGATCGACCCGAGGGCGAGCTCGTGAACGACATGCCGATTGAGCTCGGCAACGCGGAAGAGAAATAAGTGTTAAGTGACTGTGTCAAGAAACCGTGTAAAAAAAATAAACAGGAAGAACAATGATGTTCCTCAACGAATCGCTGCTCGTGCTGATGTACACGGCCAATATGATGGCCAGTCTTCCCAACGAAACCGACAGCAAGTCTTCGGAAAATGGACTTGAACCTCACAATCAAACCACCACCACTTTGTCTCCTGAAGAGAATGAGAACAAGTTCGACTTTGAAGACGGTAAAATCACCTAGGAATTCTTATTATGAGTCTGAATTTAATTTCTGTATATACCCTCTATAATTAGATGCAGATGCATCGGTATCAACGTTCGAGTGCTCGTACTTTTTTCCTCAGAAAAAAATGACCTAACGACTTCCTTGAGATGTTTTTCCATAAGCTGAAAATTTATTAACAATTTTTAATATTCTATGATTACGCCCTCTGTAATTAGATATAGATACATCGATAGTAAAGTTTAGGTGCTCACACATTCTTCTGAAGGAAAAGCGATATCATTTCAGAGAGGATGTCCCTGTCGCTGAGATGTCTTACCCAGAAATCGCTGAACAATTTTCCGGGTCACTTTTCGGGGAACGATATTGCATGCAGGTCACTCCCTACGTCACGTGCAGTCATATGCACATGCACTAACATACTGTTACGTCTCCATAGCTGGAAGACACAACATGGTTCTTGCTTCGAGGAAAAGATAAAAGTCTGCAAAGAGCATTATCACGAGCTAGCCCAGATAACCTCACGAATCGCAGCTCGTGTCTATCCTCTCCAAGTGAGGGAGTGGTAAACAGTGCTCCGATTTCGGATTACAGGGTCAAATTTGAGAGCTGTTGACTTTCGAAATTGCTTATTTATATATATATATTTTTTTATAGTGGAAACGAGGTTAAAATGGCGGAAACGCGGTAAAAAACGACCTTCCAGACCCCGTGACATCGTCCAGATATTTTCAAATGTACTTAAGACCCCATATGTTATGTGGTGCCGGGATTCGAGGAGATTTGATAGGCTGAGCTTATCTAAGGTCACGATTAGTAGATTCTCCTTGAACCGTCCAAGCTGGGTCTTGCGAGCCTCGAGTAACCCTGTGGATCATCGAAGTGCCGATCGATCGGAAAACCGTGATATATTGCCCGAACTTTTGTCAAAAGTCGTTTACATGTTTCTCATCCTTGCCGCTCGGAAACGCCTGGTGCATGACGATCCATGATCTCGGGATGAGTGTAAATAAAACGGGTCGCAGGGGCAGAGTGCGCTCATCGTATCGAAAGAGGAAAAAATTAATCATTGTTGACCGTGGGAATGGAAATACAATTTTAATTACATATTTTGGTACTCACTTCTTCTTCAAAGGTTCTATTCGCGTGAAGATCCGCGGCAGCGTCTCAGACAAGTTCATGGACCTCGGCGGAACACCAAGTCTCTTTACTCTAACCATGGTTCTACCGGAAATGTATTTTTCTATAAACGAATATATTAAAAAACGTATGTTGTTTTCAGAGTGGTACATGTGGAGATGCTACCAACCATACGGCTGCTTCTACATCGGCCTACCATGGTTCGGAGAAAATCGACCAGTTGTCAATTTCCCCGATCGTCCGGATGTTATCAACCCGACCTACAGTCTCTACACTCGTGACAATCGCGAGGGCGCCTACAACCTCGTAATCGATCACTTCAACACCATCTTAAACTCCCCCTTGCGAAAGAACGACAGCAACCTGTACTTCGTCATCCACGGCTTCCTGGACAACGGAAGCAGAACCTGGGTCCTGGTGGGTTTAGTCGTTCATCAAAATTTTATCTTCATTTATTACGAAAACCAATGATTAGCCAAACCGATTAACCCCACAAAACAAGAAGTAGAGAAAATTGATAAGTATAAAAAGTTAAGGTATTATGAAAGAGTCATTCTAGATATATACTAGAACCAAGGATACATTTTTTCTTTTTTTTTAAATGACATTTCATGAGCATCGCATCCTTCCTTAGGGCCTCATAATCACTTGCAGTTTCAAATTATTCGGTGCATTCAATTTGGAGATGTTTTATAAACATTTTGACATTTTGGTATATATATAGAATGACTCTTTCATAATGCATTGAGCATTATTGAATTTCATTGATTGTAAAATTTGGAAAAAGTTCAAAAAGTGGAGTTTATCACTTTCGTCCGTGAACGGTTGATGTACTACTGCCAATTGCTGATGGCTGCGCATTGTTATTCCAAATGTTCCTGATTTATAGAGAATCGTGAAGCAACTCCTTATCAGAGAGGACTGCAATGTCGTAGTCGTCAGCTGGATCGGCGGAGCTGGACCACCTTACACCGATGCCGTGGCAAATACGAGATTAGTTGGTGCCATGACAGCCAGATTGGCGGCACAGCTGATCGAAGTTGGTGGAGTCGCGCCCTGGAGGATGCACGCGATAGGGCACAGCCTTGGTGCTCATATATGCGGTTATCTCGGTTACAACCTACGCATTAAATACAAGTACCACCTTGGCAGAATCACAGGTGCGTCTGATTTGATATGCCACTTAAATTGCCACTGATCCCCCAGAATTATTCATTACAGCGATTATTTGAGGGGGATAACTCCACCCTGAGAAGAAAAAAAAATCTGATGGACCAAGGAGATATTTCGTTAATTCAAAGAATTATTTGACTCATGACTCGAATAAATTGGATGCAACAATTCATCAGGATCATGACGATTTAATTGAGCTTATTTTAGTCAAATTCCGTGAATTAACAAAATAATTCTTTGATACTATTCAAAGTAACATTACTTTGGTTAAATGAATCTTTTCCTCAGGGCATGATTAAATAAAACCACCGGTAAGGTGGCTCTATATATATTATATACGTGATAATAATCTATAATTGACATATGTTATTCATTAATTCCTGGTACTTTCGTTGAAAATAATCTTAAACCCATGCAAATTTCTTCGTGAATTTTATGGAAGGGCCTGATTGTTGCAATATATTTTTCGCGGCAGATTAATAGGGTATAGTTGACATCTCGCTGCAGGAGGTTCTCTGAGTGGACTACCAAGTCCCCTCCACCTCGCTCTTGTTCGTGTCTCTCCTTCGTGGACCCTGCCCTTGAACCGGAAACTCACGAAGCTCTCCCGTAGAATGCCGATCGATTCCTGGCCGATCAGGACAACAGGGACGCGAAGAGAACTCCTCGCAATCGAGCTTCCTCTGTGCTCCAGATTCACACTTTGAATGGATGTTAAGCCGCAAGTGATGACCCAGCTGAACTTGAATTTGTCACTTAAGGTGTTACAAAAAGGTCAATCTTTATATACCAAAACGTCAAAATATTTACAAAACCTTTCTCCAAAACGGGACATACCGAATCGTTCGAAAGTTTAACACGTAATTAAGGAAGTCCTCACAAAGGCTTTAAAACTCCCGAAAATGTCATTATTTGAAAGAAAATGTTGCATTTATCCCGAACAAGAACCAAAGAAAAATTGTTTGTCTATTAATGAAGTTTCGTGAGTTTCAAGACCTTAATCAGGACCTCCGTAATTACGTGTTAAAGTTTCTAATGCTATGGTGTACCTAGTTTGGAGAAATGCTTTATAAATATTTTGACGTCCTGATGTGTATATATAAAATGGCTCTTTCGTACCACCTGACCACCGACAAGTATTAGATCTATTTCCTTTTTTTAAGTGAAACTCCTTACTCCAAGCGTAAGTTTGCAAATCAAGGAAGGACCCCCGAATTTTAATCAGCCAATAGTTTCTCCAATGTCAACCCAAGAGTGCTGTTATATAGACATCTGGAATGATTTCCGCCACCCTTTATCGGGTCTTCTGAGTCCGACACCCCCTCCATGAATTTTTTAAAAGTCGGGGGTGCAGTCGACTACCCGAGGCTGGTTACGTAGGCTATCGATCTCATCGGGAAGTACCAGGATAACAGGACATCGAGGACATAACGAGGGCTTCGATGGAGACGTCCTGCACCCTTGAGCCACACCCTCCCCTGGAGGAACCCGAATGGAACGGAAGGGTGGTTTTCGCCCTGGCCGAATCGACGCCCGATTCGCGAGCTGGCCTCCTCGTTAGAGACCGGGATTACGTCGGTTTTGAGACGAGGGAGTGGAGCCCGAAGGATGCCGAGGGGCCGAGAGAAGTCGGGGATGGTCCAGGTCCTTCGATCCCGCCCTAAGACCCGCCCGGAGACAACACCGAAGTAAACAGCCGTAGTAAGAGAACACGCCAGGAGAAGAAGTGGCAGGAGCCGGATGCTGGAATGGACCCTATGCCCCAGGCTCCGGAAGACCCTGAAATTTGATCATACAGACGATATCGAGAAGGAAATGTTAATTTTTGGGGATGAAATTAAATATGGGAGCCCCTTCATTTTAACGGCAAATAAATACTGTGCGAAACTCGATGGCCTGCACCTTTGATAATTTTGTTCGGAATATTAAGATAATGACTTGAAATATGCTTTAACACAAGTGAGGTCGAGAAGAAGAGACAGAAGCTGGATGCTGGAATGGACTCTGTGCCCCAGGCTCCGGAAGACCCTGAAATTTGATTATACAAATGATATTGAGAAGAAAATGTTTAATTTTTAGGGGATGAAATTAAATATGGGAGCTTCTTCATTTTAACGGCAAAGAAATACTGTGCGAAACTCGATGGCCTGCACCTTTGATAATTTTGTCCGGAATGTTATAATAATGACTTGAAATATGATTTAACACAAGTAAGGCCGAGAAGAAGGGGCAGGAGCCGGATGTTGGAATGGATCCTGCACTTCAGACTCTGGAAGACCCTGAAATTTGATCGTACAAACGAGATTACGAAGGAAATGTTAATTTTTTAGGAGATGAAATTAATATGGGTCGTCCTCAATTTTTTCCCGCAATTATAACACCGAATTAATTTCAGTTTGTGGAGCTCTGATAATTTTGTGTCCGGGATGTTAAGATAATAATTATTTAAGTATGCTTTAACGCAGATTCCGGGTGCAGAGTCCATTTTACGGAGTGCTGAATAATCTTGACGACTTTAAGTGCTTGACTTTAAATGTGTTTTTTTTTTCTTTTACTATTTCCAGGGTTGGACCCCGCAGCTCCGCACTTCACGAACACGTCTCCGTTGGTTCGTCTGGACCCAACCGATGCGAGTTTCGTCACCGTCATTCATACAGATGCGAGTCCTTTTATGAGTGGAGGACTTGGGATCAGTCAGCCCGTGGGGCATATTGACTTTTACCCTAATGGAGGGAGAAATCAACCCGGGTGCAACGAGGGTGTCCTGGACTCCATCAATCTGGAAAGTGGAAGCTTTTTCAAAGGTAACGTCAGATATCGTTATTCTTGCAAATTCGTACAAATAAGACGTACACCCCCAATAAACCCAAGGTAGTGGAATTCACATTTTATACAAGGAAATCTAAGGGAGATGTAAAAATTAAACGTTTATCCACCCACGGTTTTTTTTTTCTCTCTACGTTAAATATACATTTATAAGAAACGTTGATCTTGTATCAAGGTTTCGATGCGTTTATCCCTATAAATGAAATTTCGCGAGTTTCAAGACTTTCCTTAGAGCTTCTATAATCAAAAGTTTCATATTATTCGGGGCACCTAGTTTGGAGAACAGTTTTATAAATATTTTGACGTTTCGATATATATGTATATAGTGCCTTTCATACACCTTATGGATCTTATTTTTCTCTGGGAACGATTACAGTCAACGGTTTTGTACCATTTCTCAACGTGTGTTCCACCACTTTGTGCTTATTTGGCACGCTCTGCACGAGTTTTAGAAAAATATCGCTTATCAGATTTAATGTAAAAAAAAAAACAATCATTTGTCAAACTCTCAGGCATCAAAAGGTTCCTCGGGTGCAACCACATAAGAAGCTACGAGTACTTCATCGAGAGCATTAATACGGTTTGTCCATATCTTGCCGTTCCTTGTTCCTCCTGGGAACGGTTCCAGGAAGGAAAGTGCTTCGATTGTGTCAATCAATACTGCCCCAGACTTGGATTCGACGCCCAACCTGGGAATTATCGTGCTTCCGTCTATCTGATGACCGGATCCGAGAAGCCTTTCTGCAGTGAGTCTAATTTCTCCTTTTCCATGCGGCATAAAATATTTAAACTCGAATAGATAACTCAAGTCAAGGCGAATCCACGTACGAAGCATCCACGTACGATCCATTGGAGTTATCACCAGACCTTCTGATCGCAGCTATCTCCGATCAGAAAAGATGAGAGCCTGCACATGCGGAGAAACCCGGAGAAATCTCTAGAGATCTGATGGAAATCATCGCGAATAATCGACTAAGGAATTAACGAACAATTAGCGTTCGTTTCTGTCTCTTTATTAATTGTTTATGGTCAGGGGACTTTTTTCTCTCACCGGAGATTTGGCCAATAGTTTGCTAATTAGCCTGTTACTTTTCTTTATTTAGGTATTTTTTATATGAGGATCTTTGCTCGAAATTTGGTTGAGATGAGGTTAATTAGTGAGTCGCTTCATTTTCTTTATTCATCAGGAAACGCGGTAGAGTTTCGCACCAAGTACATGTAAAAGCGTGCGCGAACGGCACCATATACTTGACGCCAATGTTCGGCACTTCAATTCGATAAATATTTATTTCTCAATTAAGAGGACTTATATCACGGTTTGGCGTAATGAAAGTACATTCCATTTTGTAGTCTGTAATACTTTTTCTTTTTTTCGGATATTTTAGAGCCATTCGCTGTGTATTATTATTTACAGGAGAAACTTTTCGCCCGAAATTTGGCCAAGTTTTTGGCTATTCACGGCACGTCTTTGTTTCTTCTTCCACAGGGGGACACTATCGCGTGACCATTAACATCTCTAAGACCAACGAGAGCCTCGACCACGGCGGAGAAGTCGGGATGTTCGTGATCAGCGCGATCGGAGCGAGCGGCAGGAAGACGGAAAGTATGCAGCTGAGCGCAAACTCTCGGTACTACGAACCCGGAAGTACTCATACGGTGGTACTTCCTGGTGACCCCATAGGCGAGCCAGCAGCCGTAGAGATCACCTGGCAGTACCAGACCTCGGTGTTCAACCCTTTGACGTGGAGACTGCTCCACAAGCCCAGGGTCTACATCGATTTCCTCACCATCGACAGCCTCGAACACGGCCGAGGGTAAGGAAAGAGTCCGCCGAAATGATTTATCTCGCAATGCAAAATTGCGTCCCAAAGTAAATTGCATTAACGGCCTCTCGGCTGAGGGTAGACTTTATCGCCGGTTTAATGGACGCGCGAAGAAAAAGGGGCTCGTAAAAATGACTCTTCGGGAAGGATTTGCCGAGGGATAAAATCCCCACGTAAAAGCGGTATCATCGGGTGAAGTATTGCACCCGGGAGAGACTTTATCTACGGCGAAGCTGTCTAGATTGCATTGACGACAAATTCGCTCGAGTGATAAGTGGCCTCTAAACGCGACTAGGACTTTTATCACGATCTTAGGATCGGCCGAGAAAATTTCCCTCCGGCCTGCACCGATTATCCTAGACTGATTACTGCAGGTTTTGAGATGCATAGATATGCACTTGCTTGGAGGCAAGATAAAGGAGAAATTAAATATTGTCACTTTGTAAGGTTTCTTTTTTATTTTTAAGTTTTATTCAAATCACTCTTTCATTTCGCCTTAACCAGGTAGTAATTCATTTTTCTTCTTTTTTATCCAGGATCACAGTTTGTCCGGATGAGAGTAAAACCTTGATAGCCAACGAGCCGAAGATCCTGACGGAGAAGAACTGCCGCCACACGGAGCTGAACGCCGTTTCCTCTTGAAGGACCTCTTCGTCCTGTCGCCCCGAAGTCGGTGATGTCGCCCCGCAAGGACCTCGTTCGACGACTCCGGCCGGGCGGCTGCGTTTCCGCCGCGTCCTGATAAAAAAAAATCGGCGATTAGATCGCGATCCTGTCGTCGGGCCTAATTTATTGGACTCGCAGGACTGTCAAGGTAGTCCTTTCTGAGCCGGTGGGCAAGGTTACTCGCCGACACTCGTGCGCCTTCCAGGATAACGACTTGCACAGCGAGCGTGCTTGTCCTTTCACTGTCATTACGCGCCCAGCCAAGACGTGCTTCTCTTTCACCTCGGCGCTTTCATACGTTGCGGTAAATCATTATTCGACGATTACTATCCCCGTAATTTATAGTCGTAAGGTCCCGTCGTTTCCTCGAATGAGTTGCAACCGCGAGGGAAGAGCCTCGTTTCCAGAGCATAACGACTTAATGTCGGATTCGAGGCTGCGAGGACGATCCCCAAGAAGTCCTGAGCGACTCTGGGAGTCACTTTAAGGTGGTATGAAAGTGGCATCAATTGTTTACATGAAACTTTCACGCGAACTGGGTGCACCGAATCGTTTTAACAGTTACCATATGAGTACGGAGGCACTAAGAAAGGTCCCCACGCTCAAGCAATTTCACTTTTTATAAAAAAAATTACCCAATTCGCAGGAATGTTTTATTAACGAGATCCTTTAAACGATACTTTCGTATCGTCTTTAGTTGTCCAATCGAGCTATGGTCTGAATGAATGTTTACTCCAATTTTTAATGGACATCTTTTCCACTTTTTATTGTTATCCTCGATACTAGTTCGTAAGTCATATCGGTATTATGTAGAAATGAGAATGAGAGAGAGAGAGAGAGAGACCGCTTGTTTACGTAAGCTGCGAGCTCATGACTTTGTATACGTCGATGAAAACGAGAGGAAAGAAAAAGAAAAGAAATAACACGATTCCCGCGACGTGACGGCGCCTCGATTTTTAAGTATTTCCTTCGTGGCTCGTATGTACACCGGACCGCAGTCGAAGCACGATAATGTCGAATGGCAATGGTGAAAGCAGTTTTTACTCTGCTTTATTTTGCATCTCGTTAACGGCCTCGGAGGATTTTATTGCAAATCGAAGGACACGCCCCTGTGGAAATTTGGCGCGGCTCCCATGAATCGCGGAAACGATCGGAAGGATCGATCTTTTGCTCCCTGGTCGCTCTTTCGAATCTAGAATTTCGCCATTCAATCGAGATTCATGTCCAATAAGCATTAAATTAACAATCGACTCTGCAAAAGTGAGAAAAACTCCAAAAACTGGTATCATGCCCAACATCCTTATCGAAGGGCGATCCACGGATTTATTTATATTCAAATCACGAGTTCCGACGTGCAATTAGGATTCATAGTCAAGAGACATTAAATTCAGGCAATTCTTATTAAAGGGTTATGTAAGCCCTTTATCATGCCGACAATATTTCCGGGTCAAGTGGACTCCCTATAAATCGGGCTTAATTCGACCCTGACACGTATTTACGGATTCAGGAATTTTTTAAGTACCTACGTAGAAAATCGGTACGCGAGTTTCCATTATTTTCTCCTCGATGGAAACGGAAGTAGGTCCTGCCTAAATTCCTCTCACGGCATCGCGACAGTAAACGGGACCTCCATGTAAATTTCGTTACCGCGGAAACAACGTTACGTGCGCCCGTCGCGTATAATTTCGTAACGCGATTCGCCGCATTCGAGTTGTGCAACTTGAAGAGTACGAGTGGGAGTTCTTTTTTTTTCTTTTTTTCCTTCTTTCCGCGACCGACCAAGAGAGCCATCGCCTTCTAACGCCTCTTTTTACCCCGATTAAGAGGCATTAAGGACGCTCGTTTGCGATCGCGAGGATCCTGAATTTTCCGCAGCGATTGTCAGCGAAAGTGCGACACGGTAGAGAGCGAAGAAATTGAATAAAGCCGGGGAAAAAGTGCACGCGCGTAATGCAAGGTAGTTAGATGCCTCTTATTTAATGCGCTGAAAATGGCAAATGACGTCATGGATTTCCTCGTCTGGAACACATCCGGAATTCGCTGGCTCATTTTCCCCTGATTTTGCTCATTATAAGACTGAAACATTATCCTTTAATCATTAACTCTTATATAACAAAAATAGAATCAACGCAAGGCCTTGATGGAAAATTAGGATTTTAAATCCTATTAGATTTTTTCTTTTCTCTGTTTTGTTTATAAGTTACCTGGAGGTTCAGGATATTTTCTGCGTGGTTCGTCCATACATTAACACTTATACCTTGGGGATAAAATGAGATTCATTTTGTTTTTATTATTTTTTTTTACCAGATCAGGTCCAAGATACGTGACTTAACATTTCAGGGTACTCTTTATTTTCCTCCTTGGCATTATTCTTCCTTGTCGATTTTTACCTTGATGGGAAAGTGAGAGTTTATTGTATTTTATTTTCTGAACTGTTTGTTCAACCTCAAGGGTAAAGCGTCATTTATTGTTGTTTATTCTTTTTTTAAAAAGTGTTATGGTCGAAGAATATCGCAAAGGTGCAAAGTGCCACCGACTAATTGCTGCCGGAGTAGATAACAAGTGGCGTTGCATATTAACCGAATTTATAGTCGCACGTTGTTGGCCATGAATCAGCGCGGACATTTGCAAAGAAGGAAAAGTGGCGATCACTCACGTGGATGAAAAAGCGCCCATTAATATCGCGATTCTTCTGGCGATTGCGTCACCGGCCGTCGTTTAAGAAACATCAGTAGCCTGTCTAATTTCTAAACGGTTCCGCAATCTCGAATCCCTGCGTATCACGATGAAAACTGGAAATTCGTCGCCGCCTGTTCCAACTGACAACGCCAACGAAGTAACTCGTTTTACCGGGCTAAAACTAAAGCGAAAGCCGTCCCGCGAACCGGAATCGTCTTTGACATTGCACCTCGCATTTTGTTAGGTTTTCAGCAACACCTGCTCGCGATTATCCCTATGAATTATTATTCATTTCTGTGCGTTTCGACACGCCCGACTGCGGCGACGCGACGGTCTGTCGGCGGCCATATTGGAAATTTCGTTTTATAATCATTGATCGAGTTACGATACGTACAACCTCTTGACAATCTTCGTAATTTACAGAGAGACGTTGAACCAGTCCCCTTGATTTTCACCGATTTAACTAATGATCGAACGGGTGATTATGCGACGATACATATATGACGCGGTCATTGATTTCCTTCGCCTTTAACTTTTTCTTTCACTATATTCTCGTTAGCTTGTTTATTAATTCCGAGGTTTTCGCGCTGACGGAAGTGACAAGGGACCGTCACATTAGCGTTAATTCGATCCAATTCACGGAATGTGATTTACGTATTTTTTAGTACTCCTTAATACGGTTCACTGCAGCCGCGATTACCCGAAGGTGACGATTTAATGAGCCATGAATCTGACTCGACAAGTCATGAATTCCAAGTAGCTTCGGTTTACACGAAATCCGCGGATTTTTCATCAGTGCTGCGTGTTTTTAATAAGTTGCTAATTGCACCGTGTTTATACGGTGTCCTTGAAGTACTCCTGCATTGCAGGAACATTGAACCTGTCACGCAACGTTATTAAGTATTTCGCATAGAATGAGAACAAATGCGCATTGATTATAGGTATCGGAGAGGATATCAGAAAAATCCGGAAGGCCTCGACCTGGAAACATAATAACACCCTTAAACAATTTTATAAACCGATCCCATCTATATTTTATAATGCAAAAGAATCTAATAAATATAATAATATACATTCATAATTAAGAAAAGATAACATATATATTTATTCATACACTAATGGCCATTAAAACTGCAATACCTAGAAATAGCGAGGGTACTACTCCAAAATTTTCAAAAAAGTTATCCATGTTATAATAACAATGCAAAAATCAAAATTTCAATCGCATTCTAACCTCAGTCGCAGCAATTAAATCCATGATAATAATTAATTTCTTGCCTTCAATTCCTGATGTTGCAATTTTACTAATCAGGGTAAATATATTAAGCGACGTCGGCTGCAATCGTTATTCGCACTGAGAGAAAAAAGAAAATTACTCAACCCAAAGAAATACGCATTGTGGCAACAAAATCCTGCGATTAAAATCCGTCTAAACAAATGTCAGATTGAGTAAAGAAAATTCGTTTAAATCAAGAGCATCAATTCTTCTCGCCAAAATAACAGTTTCTTGCAATTATATACGATTTAGGCAACGATATACATATCAACAATGTATATTCATTTCAGTCAACTAATCTTTTTTCTCAGCGCGCGTGCGAAGCTCTTGATGGCTTCCAAATCAAATTGTAAATTCTAATTCGATTCTAATCGTCTGAATATATGACTAAGAGGACTGTAAGAGGACCGTAAAAACGGTACCCGGAGTACCGTGAAGCGGTCAGATCTTTGCCGGACCGATGTCCAGGGGTACAGGGGGCACCTGAGGGGCCAGGGGGGCACTTGGGGTACCAGAGGGGACTAACGGACTAGAGGTGGTGGGCAAATATTCCAGGACAAGTGAATCCGCCGTACACTCAGTCGAGCACGGGCCTCTCACCGTGGAACGTTTAGTCTCTTTGCCGCCTTCGCACTCCTTTCACGGGTACACGCACATCTCCTTCCTTTATCCCCTTGCTCTATCTCATCTCGTCCCCAGAAGAGAACGCTTGCGTCAGTCCGCCACCAACCCTGCCTTCGATCTAATATTTTGGGATTTGATCCGCCGATCTACATTTTAAAGAGCCCGCTGCGCGCGGTTTGACAGATCGGGCGAGTCACGTGACGCTGACCACGTGGGCTCCTCAGAGAGCTCGACGACAGGAGAGAGAGATCGAGGGCAGCAGAACGCGGCCTCTGTCCAGACATGGCGGATCGCTAGGCCGGATGCTGAGCTGACATGAGAGAGTAGCTGTCGAAATGTGAGTTAACTTCTTCTAAAGTCTCCTTAAACTTTGATAACATGTCAGACAACATACTTTTGGGAGAAAAAAACCGCAGGGGCGTGACATTTTTTAATTTCTATTCACTTTCCATTAATTTTCTATACATTCTCTGCTCCCTTAAGGCGATTTGAAAGGGTCATTCTATACATACAAAACTTTTCTCCAAACTGGGTGCACCCAATCATTTGAAACTTCAGCACGTGCTTGTGGAGACCCTAAGGAAGGACGCTTGTTAAATTTCATTTTCCAAAAAAATAATCCTTTTATTTATCCCTGACTAGAACCAAGGATACGTATTTAAAAAACAAAAATGAAATTTTATTTTTCAAATTTCATTTTCGGTGCACCTGGTTTGGAGAAAAGTTTCATAAATATTTATATGTATAGAATGACTCTTTCATATCAACTTAAAATCGACACTTTTCCGTGTCAGTCAAGCTGGGAGAGTTTTTCAGATGTTCAGGGCCTTGTCTATTTATTCTTCTCTTTTTTTACGCGTCTGGAAGACCATTTTCATATGCACACGAATGAGCGCGGCGGTTTGACAGGGCGTGGATAATTATTTTTAGTTTGACGAGTACAGATGGCTCGAACGATCGGCTAGCGTATTTTGGAAATACGCTGCTCGCTGCCGAGCGTTTATTATATATTATAGGTAAGTGCGCGAAGGAAGGAACGAGCGCGCTTTCTCCGCCGGCGAGCCCGTCTACGTAGGCGTATACGTAGTGCTTGTCAGTCTGCCGGGTCTGGCAGTCTATTTGCGTCCTACAATTATTATATGAATTGATTTTTGGGCAGTGAGAAAATCCAGAGGGGAATTTTTATTCAACATTGAGGATACAAATTAATTGACTGAAAAAAATATAGCGTTTATCAATTTATCGGGTCCGGCGGTCTATTTGCGTCCTACGATTATTCTATGAATTGATTTTTTAAGACAGAAAATTCATCTTCACATTGATTTAAAATAACATTGTTTACTCAATCTGACATTTCGTGGGAACGTGTTTGACAGGATTCCGTAGTCACAATGCATATTTCTTTGAATCAACTTATTTTTTCTCTCGGTGAACAGCAGTCCTGGCAAAGAACCCATTTTGGGGGGAAAGGGACCCTTGGGAATTTCTCTTGAGAGACCTCCAATTAGTTTCGAAGGATTTCGACATTCTGGGGATTTTCGATGCCTAGGGGATCGGATCTGTAATATGGGCCGCCTTGTACGCGCGACTTATGTAATTGGACCAACATCCTGGACGACCCATCTCACCAGTTCACTATTACGGAGGTTACCCTGTAATCTCGGAGCAGACCGCGAAACCGCGCGTGACGGGAGCTAGGGATCGAAAAATCGGCAAGGAAAGTTGGACCGCAAGAGACGGGAGCTCGACGGCGTTATTCGTTTATTGGCGACAGGTGCTTTCGGACCGACTCCAATCCTGGAGAGGGAAACACGGTTTCGAGTAAAACGGAAAAGGCTGCGCTCTTTAGCGCTCATACTTGTACTTGGCGCGGAACTCTACCGTGTTTCTTGATCGGTGCGGTGCAAAAGTGAGGGCGCGAGTAAAATGAGGGAACAGTTGGACAGCCAAGAAAATGAAGAACTGATCTACGGAATATCAAAGAAGCCCAAGAGGTGTAAAGTCGAGGTAAATCTAGCCACACACGTAACGATAATTCTGTGCAAATAGATCTTAAAGTGTCATGAAAGCGTCATTCTGTGTATACCAACACGTCAAAGTATTTATAAAACTTTTCTTTAAACTGGGCCCACCGAATAATCTTAAACTTCAACAAGTGATTAGATCCATTCAGAACACGATGTTCATGAAATTTAATTTAAAAAAAATAAAATTCAAAGAAAGTCAGGGAAAATCTAGGTCGGTACCTAGGTATAGGTAGAGAAAAGCCTGAAGGTGGGGATAAATCCCCAGAAATAAAATGGCCAGATCGTTCAGCGAAGGAGTGGCGCGGAGCTGCGCTTATTGTCAGGTATTTCTAGAAATGGTCTGCAAAACCGTTTGAGAAAATCCCCTAGCCGTGGAATCAGGGTCCCTATGACCTCTGAGAATTTCTTCGGTAATTCTAAATTTGACATTACGAGGAATTCCTGCATCGTAGAAATAAAATGGCGAAGTCAAAGAGCAAAGGACTCCAACGGAGCCGCGCTCGTTAGGTCGAAGTATGCTCTGGGAAACTTTTCGTAAAAATCCCCCAGCCGTGGAATCAGGGTCCCTTTGACCTCTGAGAATTTCTCCGTAAATCTAAACTTGACATTACGAGGCATTCATGCATCGTAGAAACTCTGCTTTCGCGGCACGTGCTGGTTCGTCGAGGAACGGCTTCTCGTAGGCGAGTTCCTCTCGGAAGACTTCCGCATCCGGGCCCCAGGGGTAAGATTGGAGCCAATCATTTTCTCGTTAGAGGCCGGTAGCGTGAGCCGAGTGGCTAAAAGTGTCGGCATAAAGACGTCGTCGATCTCTAATGCCAGTATTTATCGGTAATCTTCTGGTTTCAGGGAGCTCTTGAAAGGCTGGCCTCTCCCATTGATACCTCACGAGGTGCTTCGCCTCCTCTTCGCGTGCCCTCCTATGTTCACCTCGTTTTTCCACGAGAGAAACACTCCAGATACCTGTTAATTAAATCCTAGGCGGGTTTTGCATACTAGAAGAAGCACTCGCCCGTAAACTGGTCTTTCTGCCGCGGAAACGATTACTGCAAACCTAAGATTTACATTTCTTCACGTACGGGTCGCTCTCCTCGACTGCTCTTTCTAAAAAGAAATTCAGACTTCTATAATACACCCTTTCCGATAATAATACGTACATACGTAGAGTTTTCCCCTTTTAATTCTAATTTTAATCTACGTGCTCATCGCTTTCCTCGGGCCATTTTGAACAGATTGAGATTTTATAAAAACACCCGGCTTTCTTCGAAGATTATTTCTTAAAAGATTTCGGACATTCTGATATACATAATATTCCTCAAATTCTAAGAAGAGATAATAGCAGTGATGCCTAATCGATATCAGAAGTCGAGGAGCCATATTTCTGATTTCTATTTTTGGTGATTGGTCACTGTGAAACCTCTCTGTAGTGTTTACAATGATTCGGTGCACCTAGTTTGGAGAAAAGTTTTATAAATATTTTGACGTTCTGATATACAGAATGACCCTTTAATGTTACTTTAAGGCTCGTCCTCAAATACTCGAAGTCGCTTATCGTCAGTATAGTATCAGACACTTCGAGTGAGGTTTCAATTTTCCGTTTCGTCTAATTACTTTCTAGCTCGAGAAGGCATCTCGATTGGATTATTCTGGTATTTGTGATTTCGGCACATAGAGGATATCGAAGATGTATTTTCTTCACGGGAGAATCTAATGAACAGGTGTCGTTTACAAGGAGTGAACTAGCCGTAAAATGGCGAGGTAACACGAGCGTTACATCGATCCTCTCTTCGGCGAGAAGGATAAATACTTCCGCTTTTCAGTCGCAGTGTTAGCGAAATCCCGTGAGCGGAAATCGCGCGGGAAATTGGCCTGTCGACGGAGAAACGCCATTCACAGAAATTGAGCATAGAAGGCGCAAGGTATCGTGGATATCATTATCCACTCAAGGTGATTCCGCGATCCCGTTAATGTCAAGTCCAATATCACAATTCAAGACCATTACCGTGAGGTATCCTCGTAAAGCGAGGATTTCCACCACTTCTTCTTGACTAAAAGTACACCGTTAAAAATAGGCTAGTATCGCAACTGAAAATCATTACGGTGGAACAATCACCATAAACCGAGTTTTCCACTATTTCTTGCTAGTAACAATTCGAAGTGGCTGCAGGTACTAAATTTGTGACATTCGTAGATGAATTTGATATGCACGCTTTTTAATTTTACAAACTACCTGGTTGATCAAATTTCCAGTAAAATGTGAAAAAAAACTTGTTTATGTTTCACCAAAAATTTTAGGCTAATTTAAGTCGTGAATTGAGGTTCATAATTTTTGTATGAAATTTTCAAACGTTTTAGATAGTAGGATTTTGCCAAAATTTCGTTCCCGGTCATTGTTTGCTTCTCTAAAAAGAGCGGGGATAGGATTTATTTTTAGAGGCAGGGAAATTCGAGAGTTCTCTATGTCTCTACGTGCTGTTGCAAGTGTGCGTAATGAAATGCACCTCCGTTATGTCTTCGGCTTTTCACCTCGGAGAGTCAGCTGACTGCCGCATTCTTCAGGAATTGCGATTGCAAGATGGCTATGCAGGTCCTCGTCGAAAGCCGGCCATTTCAATTGATTCGTCTCTCGAAAATAATTACGATCTGCATAATGTCGTACGCATGAAGTGATGCAGCTCGGCGCTGCACCTATTAATCTCTCGGTCCTGCACATCATCGTTGCATATAAGATTCTCTCTCATCCAATGTCACAATTCAAGACCATTATCCTCAAAAAGCGACAATTTCCAGAACCTCTCATTAACTAAAAATACACCGTTAAAACATAACTGGGTAAATGTCAGAATTTAAATTCACTAAAATAACGTAATTATCATAAAACAACGATTTCCACCGTTTCATTCTAAAAGTGCACCAGTGAAAATGGTTTTAATAAATTCATGAATCTTGTACGTGAAGATCCTCGTCGAAAGGCGGCCATTTCGATTGATTTGTCTCTCGACAATAATTACAATCTGCATAATGTCCCATGCGCTCGGCGTTGCACTTATCAATCTCTTGGTCCTGCACATCATCGCTGCATGCAAGAGTCCTCTCGAGTGCACATTCAGGCCTCACCGTAATGTCAAGAATGTAGGTCAGTGTAAAGGCCGAACATTGGAAAGCTGTTAACCGTATTAGTATCTGTACCATGCAACGAACTTTACCTGAGCCTCGTACCTGTGTCAGACCAAGGCGTGTCAGCACGCAACCCACGTGTACACCCTGCACTCACACCTGCAGTATGCAAACATGAAAGTGCATCCGAGAA